CTTTATTGTGTCTTCAACTTTCTGGTAAATAAATTGGTCAGTGATATCTTGCAATCTTGGCAGATGTTTGAGTAACTGAAGCTTTTCATTATTGCTGTGTCCCTCCTCCCTGAAAGATCAGTAATCTGGTCCAGGAAGAAATCATTTAGATCTTCTAAATGGCTTGGTGGTCTATACCATCCTCCTGTTATACATAATAATGTTTTCCTTTCCTTGCATTCTTATTCAAATATTTTTGATTGTGTTTATATTCTAATCATAGTTCTCAAAAGCTGTGAAAACTTATAATACAGTACTACTTCTCCCTTTTTGTCTGGCCCATTCCTTTTGAATAAGTTATACTTGTCAATCTTTGTTTTCCATTCATGAGTGTTGCCCCGCCAGGCTTCATTAATACCTAATAAACCGTAATAACTTTTTTTGCATTAAGATTTTCTGTTTGTTCCCCATATTTTGGGTTTTATAATGATCATATATATTAACCTTGGGTCATATACTGTATATTAACCTATTCCACCATATATTTCTTTATACGTTATTGGGGGCTTCCAAGTCTTGAGTATTGTTTTAGTCTCAGTATGGGGGATAATGCAGTTTTCTAGATTGTCTTCTCCCTTCCCAACTGGATTCAGTTTAAAGAACTCCAGATCACATTATTTCTGGTTCTTGTGAGGGTTACCACATTTTCTTACAATGAGTTGCTTAGCTCTGAAATGCACCCATTATCAAATGCACCCATAGGCACCATCTGTATGGCCACCTGTTCCCTTCTAGTAATTTTTATTCTCTTGCTGAGCCTTGAGTGATGAATAAACCACCTGTGCTCACAGCTCCTTCAACCTCTTTCCTGGCATTTTGTAACCTCTTGCAGTGTCTTCAAGGCTATGTTTAGCATTGTCATTTGTTCCCATGCAGATCAGTAGAAATGGATCTTTATCAGTGGGCTTAAAAGTGTTCTGAGAATCTTTCCATTCTATTCTAAAAAGAACTGGTTCCCCCTGGGAAGTACCACACTTCTGTTGATAGCTTGTCTGGCTGACAGATTGCTGCCAGTAGGAAGTCTCCAATTACTACCACTTGTCACTTCCTATTCTTTGTTTTTACATGATTTTCATCAAAACCTTTAAAAAAGAAGATCAAAAACTAATTCAAACTAAAAACAAAATAATGAAGAAAACATAATTAGACAAAAAGTGCAAGAAAAAAGTTTAAGACAAAGAAAAGAAAGAAAATATGTACAAAAACTGTCTTCCAATATTCTTCACAGCAGTTGTTCATATAATTATATTTCAACCTCTCTCTCTCTCTCTGTATAAAGTTACATCATAACACTCTTCTTTGTGTAATCTATCCTGTCTAATCATCAATGACATGAATCAATCGCTTCCTATTCTTCAGAGCAGGGGCAGAAATCCTTCCTATTGTAAAGCTGATACAGTCTCATTACTTGGTGAGATTTATGGAAACTGTTCTCTATCCAGGGCTCCAGATCTATCAGCTGTGAAGTCCTGAAATCAATTCTGAAGTTTTGGAAAGTACAAGTAGTCCTTGACTTACGACCATTTGCTTAATCACTATTCAAAGTTGTGATGGAACCCACCCCACCCCCACCAAAAAAAGGTATTTAGGAGTTCTGAAGTTCTGATGGTTGTCCCTCCCATGGTCATGTGACCACATTCCGACCACTTGGCAACCATCCTACATTTGCAATTGTTTGCAGCATACCATGGTCACGTGACTGCAATTTACGATGTTTTTACCAAAACCTGGTGTTTACTAGCGAATCATGGGTTTACTTAATGACTGCAGCATTCACTTAATAACCACTGCAAAATAGGTAATAAAATGGGCCCAGTCATGTATAGACCCACTTTACCACCATCACGACTTATGACCATAACTTTCTACATCTTATCATATTACTTTTCCAGAAAGGCAATCAACTTGCACTTGTAGCATGGATAGTTCTTGTGGTTTTGAGGAAGGAAAAAAAAACATAGTATAACTCCTGCGGGTCATCAGGACAGTTTCCTTCATCGCCGTCTGTCTCTGATGAACAAACATAGAAGCAAGTGCCTCCCTTTGAATCTCCAATTCCAGTTCTCTAGCCAAATGTCTACTTGCTCTGCCTGTTTTTTATTCATCGAGTAAATAACTTTGCAGGGAAGAATAATGGGGAAACCAGTTTTTACTAAATGTACCTTGTTCTCCTCCAACACATTTCCTGTAAATGAAATTAAGGTTTCCTTACACAGGAACAAAACAGTAAGTTTAGATAGTTAATTTTTTTGTATTGAAACACTGCAGTTTGCAGAATGCACCTGGCTGATAGTAAAGAAAGATATTTTTCAAAGAAAAAATAATCATCATTAAAGAACTTTAGTCTTCAAAGGACTTGTGTTTTATCTTAATATTCTTTACAATAGATTATTAAATAAGAGCTCAGATAATCCTGACTTTTCATATTAAAAAATGGATCAAGTAGTCTGTGATAGGAAATATCTCTGCTTGGGATCCCCAAAAGTGTCTACCAGTCAGATGAAATGATCTTGAAATGGGTGAATAATGTGACTTTGTACAAGACAACTTCCTATGTTTCTAAGTTCTGGGCAATCAGATCTGACTTGCAAAACTCCAGACAAACCATGAGGTGGCAGCAAAGAGATAAAAGAAACTCTAATGTTTGCTGCCATCTGGTAGTTGTCTAGATTTGTGCAACTCAGATCTGATAATTGCACAATTTTCTCAGGTTAATATTATTGACTAGCTTCACATATTATGCTAAACCATGCTATGATTATTTATGGCTTCTTGACAAAGCTACAACTGGCTAATTTCATATTATCTTACTTATAAATAAGGATGTCTAAAACATGATAGCTGAATTCCTACAACATGCTAAATCATTTATACAACACACTAATCAGACAGACTCTATTATGGAATTTGTATTATAATTGACTTAAGACATTAGTGATATTAACCCAACCATTTCCACCTCTTAGCAGGTACAGTTAGTTGGTTGAAAATGTGACCAAGAGCTGAAAATATAGCTACGGTCACCTTCTAAGTAAGCAGATCTGAAATCTGAACAAAACTCTTTCCCGGATCCTTCCTTATAGATGATTTCTACTATAGTGGCCCTAATGCATTGCTTTTGGGGGGGGGCACAAAACACTACAATTTCCATAGAATGAATATGCATAGATACAAAGAATGCTTTCCATAGTAGAAATGGAAGTACAATAGGATTCAAAATGAAGAAAATTCTAAGCAGGAGATCTTTAGGTCTGCTGCTTAGTCTGTTGCTCCTAATGGACAGCTCAAGGCCTTCTCCTTTGTTTTTCTTCTAAGAAGACCTGGGCTAGATAAAGCCTATCTGCTTCCAGTAAAGCAGATCACAGGACCACACCACTCTAAATAGCTTTCTACTTTGCAAAAGACAATATTGCAACTTTTGCTACATTACAGTAGGCTTTTCAAACTATTTAGTCTAATAATCTCTGTTCTTTTTACTCCTTTCACATACCCAGTGTTTTAAGAAAAAATAAAAAGGAAATTATATACCTTTCCAGTTTGGGACAAAGGATCATTTCTTGTGGTATATGTAGAAGAAGGGATTTCATAAAATGAAAAAGTTTTTTTTTCTTTTTAAAGTTGTTTCTCTTTTCAAAAGTTTTAATAATCACATTTTTTGTGTATAAAGAACAAAACCTTGGTAAAAAACACATGTTGCTTGACACAAAATCTCACAAGGGTTCATAAGCGACATAAAATGGAATCTTTCTAACATATTAGGTAGAAAAAAGACCTTGGATGATTGTTAACTAGTTACATGAGTTATAGTACTCTATTCCTTTCCCCTATTTATATAATTCTATTTAATATATTACGAACTCTAAAAGAAAATTGAACACTTAGTTAATGGAGCTATTCTTAAAAGTAATTTTCAACTCATCCCTGACCTTTTGTGTAAAGAGATATAGGTAACTGACAGAAAAAAACAATACAATACTTTTTTCCCCAAGATCAAGTTCAGCTTTTAATATTTGTTTAATAAATGGCTATAGACCAAAAGAATAAAAAACAAAAGCTTAAAATTATGCAGTAATTAAAGTAAAAGAAAATGTATGCAGCTATGTTAATGCACAACAAAAGGCAATATGGTAGGATAAATCTAATTTCTCAGAGAGTAAGGTGTTGTGTCCCGTGCCTGCAGAAGCAGGCGTGGGAAGTTGCAAGAGTCCTGGGCATTTGCAAAAGCTGCCCGGGACCAGACTGACTGGCGCCGGCCTTGCGTGCATGTGCAAGGCGGGAAAGGACTGCCTTGTGACTGGTGGGAATTGTCCGGGGATCGGAGGGTATATATAGAGGCTTGCGCGCCTCTGGGCTTGTCGTTGTTCGTAGAATAGAAGCAAACAATAAAGACTTGTTGGAAATGCTTCGTCTCAAGCGCCATTATTCTCCGGACATAATACTGGCGATGAGGATGGGATTCAGTCTCTACAGCTAGGAAAGCTAGAAGACTCACCCAAAGAAGTCAGGAAGAGAAACGGCGTGGAAGTCAGCGTTATCCTGCCAGTACGAAATCGCTGGAGGGTGCGTGCGGCTGCAGAAGACGACCCTGATCCTCGATCATGGCGAAAGTTGGGCGTTTAGCGGAATCGCCCCGGACTCGATGGAAACGGTATCGTACGCCGATTTGAAGAAAACCTTAAAGGAACACTTCCAGCCCAAGCAATCTGTCATGGCTTGGAAACACACATTTTAACAGAGAGATCAGCGAGTTGGAGAATCAGCAGAAGAATCTGCAAGTGGAGTGGTCAAGAATTTGCGGTCCACTCGAAGCGCTCCAGTGATTGCACCCATCCACACGAAGGTGGACAAGCGGTACCAAGCAGCTGGGAGGAGGTCCAAGGATTGTCAGGACAAGGGCCCAGCTGAGCTTCATTGCCTTGGACGCGGTGGACGCCAGAAGCGTGCGGAAATAAAGGCTACAT